CACAATGGAGGGCACTTGGGGGTCGGAAGAGAATGCTGGGGGGGTAACAGAGTGGAGAAGGACGTAACAGGAGCTACATGGGGGCGGGACGATGGATGGTACCTGGGGTCCGGAAGGGATGATGGGGGTACCTGAGAATCGAGGAAGGGGCGGTAGAAGGCACGTGCGAGAAGGGGGGACGATGGGAGGTACACCGGGGGAGGGGACAACAGAGGGTATTTTGGAGGGGGCTGTTGGAGGGAGAGCAGGGGCGGGGCGCGCCGATACCCACCTTGTCCCAGCGGAGCCACTGGCCCACGGCGGTGTCCAGCTGCGGGTCCCCAGTTAGGTAGGGGGCACAGGGGAGGTTAGAGTTCATGTCCTCCCCGGCGCCGTCCCCCATGGCGGCAACTGCAGAGGCGGAGCGGCTGCTCAGCGGGCTGCGGGCGCCCCTGCCTCCCCGCAGGGCATCGGGCAGCGGGCGGCTCAGGCACCTGCCGCAGCGGCACAGCCCAGGGGACTGACGCGGCGACGCCGGCCGCTCCCCAGCTCCTCTTCCTCCCTCTCTCCCTCCCGGGCTGACCGACTGACGAACTGTCGGGGCGGGGGCGGTGGCCGCGGAGGCTGCGGCGTGAGCCGGGAACAACAGCGGGCCTCAGATGTCTGGGTCCTACCCGCCGCACGCGCAGCTCAGGCCCCGCCCACCCGCGCGCCCCACCTCCGGCCCCGCCCCGCCCCCGCGCGCGGACACGCGCCCGCGGCCCCGGCGCCTCCGCAGCGAATCGCGTCCTCGATTGCCTTCACGGTGCTCCAGGGAGTAGGGAGGGAGAGAAGAGGGGTTGTTAAGGAGAGGGTTCCTGCTTTCCCCTCGCTCCGGCCCGTCCTGTCTCTCTCCGCTTCCTTTCGCCCAGGAGGAGACTGCCTCACGCTCCCGGTCGTGACCCGCTATTCGAGGGCACCCGTCGGGCTCCGATTTCGGGGCCCGAGCCTGGGGAGGAGCTGGGGGGAGAGGGAGAGGCCTCCCAAGGTCTCATGGGAAATGTCGTTCTCTTTCTTCCCTGGCCTTGGTGGAAGCCGCTCCGGGCACGGCCAGAGGGACTGCCACTCCCGGCAGCCTCTGCTTCTCCTTCTGGGCTCCAATTCCGAGTCGCGTGCAGTTGCAGTGTGGTGGAATCGGGCTCCCTCCCGGGCCACGCCTGGTGCGAGGTAGATGAAGCGGGCTAGAGCCCGGGTGGCGACCTCCCCTTTCGGCCTTTACCGCGGCTTCTTTTCAATGCAATTCAATGAAAATTTCCTAAGCACCTATTTTTATGTATTTATTTATTTATTTTTGGCCAAGGACTGTGCTAGGTGCTGGAGATGCAAAAAGAAGCAAAAACACAACGAATCAGTTCCTGCCCTCAAAGGGTTTACATTCCAATACAGGAATATAACGTATAAATATGCCTAGAGAGTGTGGGGATTTTTGGGGGGGGGACGTTGTTGGGGAGGGTGGAAATTGGAAAGGGGAAATTCGACTTTAAATGTTCACTGGAGGGGGCTCACTGAAAAGAAAGTTCATCTTCCAATGAAGATCGACAACTGTTCTGTATCTTAGAGAGTTTCTTGGGGCCCTGAGAGGAAGGTTAAATGACTTGCCCAAGATCACACGGCCAGTATGAATCGGAGAAGGAACTTGAACCCAGGTCTTCTGGCTCCAGACCCAGTGCTCTCTTTCCACTGCACCACCTACCTGCCCTCAGGTAACACATACTCATAAATATGTGTAATAAAACGTATTTGTTTGTTTTAAATCCAGCAACCTGGAGCATTCCCCAAAGACAGCTTCAGCTGGGATTGGGGGGGTCACTTTGGATCAATCCTGAACCTGAGGTGCAGCTCTATAGATTGTGAAAACTCCTTCCACTAATGCAGAATTTATCTGGAATTTGTAGTTTGAGATTTGCCTAGGAGAAAGAAGAGCTGAAGTGAGTTGTTCTATATTCCTAAGTTTGCATTGGCAGCACTTAACCCCAAGTCTTTCTGACTCTAAGGCTCCATCCACTCCTCCACACTGCTTCTCTTCATACCCTTTTTATTTATTTTTTTAAAGGATTTGCTCTTAGGAGCAGTTAGGTGGGTTGTCGGATAACGTGCCAGACTTGGAATCCATTACACTGAAGTCTAAATTCTGCCTTCCATCACTTACTAGCAGTATATTCTTGGGCAAGTCCCATAAAATCATATCAATTACCTGACATGGCAGTTATGAAGACCAAATAAGATAATATATGTAAAGTGTATTATAAACTTTAAAGCAAAAATAGAAATGGTAGTTATTATTATTATTAACAAATGACATAATACAAGCATTAAGACAGGATTAGACAGCGAAAGTCCTCAGTGAAATCTGTAATTATTCAGTCATAGTGTGCCAAAATTGTAGAAACCTTAAAACAGAACATCAGAACTGGAAGGGATCAAAGATGCAATATAATCCAACCCTATCACTTTACGAGAAGGGGAAATTGAGGTCCAGAGGGGAGAAGGGATTTCCAAGATCAGACAAGCAGTAAATAGCTGAGCCTAGACTGAAACTGGGGTAATTTAACTCCACATCTAGTGCCCTTCTAACTAGACCACAATCCCTTTACGCTGGAAAGACAAAGCATACAAAAACCAAATATTGCCCACATTAGGTACTTGAACAAGGAATCCATTGAATTAGCCCATGCACTCATTCATTCATCAAACATTTCTTAAGAACCCATCTGTATTGTGTGCAAAACGCTATGCTAGGAACAAGGGAAAATCCAATTGATATGACTTGGTTGCTAACCTCATGAGAGGCAGCTTGGAGTAATGGTTAGAGAACTGGCTTTGAAACCAGAAGGACCTGGGATTAAGATTTGCCTCTAACACATACCAACCATGAGCCCTTAGGCAAGTCACTCAGCCCCTCGGTGTTCTAGGCCAGCATTTCTTAAACTGTGGATCACGACTCCATTTGGCAACAGTTTCTGGACATGTAATGACCAAAAATTAATTCAAAATCAAATTTGTAATGAATCCAAGGTGTTTCTGGCAGCGCTTGCCCTGTATTGCATCCGGCAACTTCACTGCAGCCTTGGTTCTGAACATACAACATGGCACTTTGCACTGTGCACGTCCTCAGGCCATGCAACACCAATGAACACTAAGGAAATGCAAAAAAGGGTCATGAATGGAAAAAGTTTAAGAAGGCCTGCTCCAGGCAAATCTCTAAAATTGCATGTTGCAGTGAAGGTGCCACCTGAATCGGGACAGGAAGTCTCCTCACCTTATGAATACCACTACCAATAAAGTCATGGGTCCAATCTGCAGCCCTTTCCTATCTCTCATGGAGTTTATAGGCCAGAAGCAGGCAAAGACATAAACAGAGACAAGTATAATCTGTAGTCTGACATGATAAGTGCCTCCGTGCTAAGTGCATTAGAGAAGGGCAAGCAAATTGCTCTGTGGGATGAGATGAGGGAAGGAAGTTACTAAAATGGAAATTAGGGGAGATGGAGCATTTGAGTTGGGCTTTAAAGGATGGGCAGGAATGAAATAGGAAACAAAAGGGAGGAAAGACATTCCAGGCCTAGGGAATATCGAAAGCATAAGTAAAGAATCAGAAAACTTTGCATATTCTGGGAACAGAAAGTAGTCTGGTTAGGCTAGATGCAATGATGTCAAACTCAAATAGAAATGGTGGGGAGGGGCACTAAACCATACATAAAGATTCTGTGTGGTCACATAGTGACTTAGGAAATCACGTAGTAGTATTATCTATGATCTATTGTATTTTTATGTATTTTGTTAACTATATCCCAATTATATTTTAATCTGGTTTGGGGCCACACATGGGAATGTTGGCAGCTACATGAGAGTGTTGCCAGCTGCATGCTGCTCAGGGGTCACATATTTGACATCTCTGACCAGAGCATAGAATTTGTGGAGCAGAGCAATAACAGAGAAGACTAGACACCTGGCCTACCAGATCATGAAGGGTTTCGAATGCCACACAAAAGAATCTGAATTTTAGTTGGTCAACTGTAGAGAGCTACTGAAGATTTTTAAGCAAAGGAATGACATGAAAAGATCTATGCACAAGAAAGATTACTTTGACTGGGGTATGAAAGGTGGATTGGAGGCGCAAGAGAACAGCAGTAGGGAGGTCTGTTAAGAGGACGCTGTTAACATGTATTTTTGACAAGCACTGCAGACAATGAACTAGACTGAGTTGAGTATAAGGGGAAGAAATCAAGCTGCAGTGCATTTTGGGAAATGATAGGTTTGGGTTTAGGTTTTTTTTTCTTTTTTGTATCTCTGTGTGTTTGTTTGTTTTTTGGCAAATCTAAGTTACTCACTGCTGTAAAAGCCCATCTTAACATTAATGTTCTCCCAGTGGTACTAGAGAGCCACACGACATCAGAAGAATCCAAATTACAAGTGAGCCAAATGGCAGTGGGCAGTGGCATATTACTAGAGATGGCTTTCTTTAAGAAGTGGTGCCACTTCAAAAAGATGTGTGATTGGAAAAGGATCATGACACAAGCCATCCAGTCCAATCCCCCTTAATTTTATAAATGAGAAAAGGAGGTCTTGTGAGTTTAAGTAAGTTACCCAAGGTCATCCAGGTGACCTTGCCAGCATTCAAACCCAAGTCCTCTGACCCCAAATCCATCCGTCTTCCCACCATGCCATACTGCTGGAGGGGCATGGAGAAGGAAAGACAACAGATCAACTAAATATTACATTGGTACCTCTCAAGATATTGAAAGAACCCAAAGCAAGATTATCAGAGTATTGGGTGGATTCCTTAGGGAAAATTTGTAGATGGACATAATAAGAAATAACAGGGTGAAAAGGAATACAGTTCACACATGTGAAATGTTTACACATGTGTAGGTAATCACACACCCATCTAAGTACCTAAATATATTTACTTACATATGTGATATCCCTACTAGACTTGAAGGGCAGAAATATTGTCTTTAATCTTTGTTGCATGTCTTTCAGCACCAGGTAGAGTGCAGCACTCTGTACATAGTTAAGTACTTAATGTTTGTTTAATTGAAATGGAATAGAACTGATAGATATGGAGGGGAAGTCTTTTCTTTTGAGTTAGTCCTTAAGAAAGGCTTTGTGAATTTGTCTGCCTCCTTTCCAATACTATCCTAATCATCATTCTGTTCTGAGTGACCATAATAATGGTTCTTCCTGTAGGGAACCTTAATAAATGGTTTTAGAAGGCTTTGAGGTTCATAGATGAAAGATACTATATAAATACCAAGTATTATTATATTTCTCTTTAAAGTGCTATTTACCGTAATAACATCCAAACAGCTAGCATATGGAAAGAAATATGTAGCTAGTACCTGAGAGATACAAAATGCAATCTTGGGAATCAATGCCTTTCACTTAAACACAGAAT